TTTCGGGTATCTGAAAAGGAAAATCAAGAGTAGAGCGTAGAAAAAAAAATAAACACATTGAACAAAACTTAAAATTACATGGAATATATTTTTTTAAAATAACAAATATTTTGGGAGAAAGATTATTGTGTAAGTTATATATTTTTTATTTATCCAATATTAAAAAATTTACTTACAACTAATTTATATACATATATTACTTAATATATTTATGTACAATTGATAAAATATTTTAAAATTAACAAATTATAACTATTTTATAGTTACAAATAAATACACATATAATTTTCTATTACAACATCACGGAAGAAAATTACTTTGAAATTATTTTACAATTTAGCAATTAAATTGCTTCTCAAATTTAAAAGATATTTCCGAGTCAAGCACTTTTTCAATTTGCGCCTGAGATCAGCAGAATAGATCGGAAACCTTTGATCGAACTTTTCCGAGTTGGTCACAAGATCAATAAACTCCCTGTTGCACACATCTTGAGCTAAGTGATCAAGATCATCCCATACCCAAAAGTTAAAAAGGGTGGAGTATTGACCCGCTTTGATTGACCTCATGTCTGCAGCTTCGCTGAAACACCTATCTCTGTAGAGGACAAACGAGTTGTGTTCTTCCAGCCTTCTTAGATTATTCGAAGAAACTGGCTGATTTCTCGAAATCATCTTGACGACATGCTTTATAAAAAGTTCGCCGACACTTCGAAGACGAGCACGATACTCATCATCATACATCCATGATCTATTCATCTCCGAGGCCTCCTGAATTTCTAGAAGGGTTTGCTCAAAAGATGTAATACCGCTGTCTGTCGCGATGTTAATATCTGCATCGTTTTCCAGTAGAAAGCTAATCTTCTCGACGTCATAAGGCACTACATCCAGAGGAGTCATTCCTTTGCTATCCTGAAGATTGAAATCGACATTGTGACTCAGAAATAGCTCCGCGACTTGGATGGTAATGTCTTCTCCATTTTCATCGAAAAATGACTTTGCAAACAAATAATGCATTGCTGTTGAGCCATCTTTGGCCATTGAATTGACTTCAACGCCTTTACGAAGCAAATGTTTGACCACAGTTAAATTTTGGCTAAGAATTGCATCCATGAGGAGAGTAACCGCTATTTTTCTGTTATCTGCATCGACGCCCACACCACTGTCGATCAACTTAATCGCCAACTCCGAATCTTTATCACCAATCGCCTTCGACAAAATTCCTGCTTTAATTTCTTGGCTAATGTATTGAAAATATCCATGAGAATACTCAGGCTCTTCAAATTTATCCAGAATAAATTGACTATTTTCTGGATTTAAAAATAGCTTCATAGCCTGAATATGGTCATTTTTGAAGGCGATATCCATCGGGAAATTTTCGGCCAAATCCGCAGCCGTCGCTTTAGCGCCATGATAAATTAATAATTCAATCATTTCGGAGCTTTCGTTCTTGAAAGCTAAGTGTAAAGGCGTGCGTTGCCGAAGAATTATTTCGTCCGAAGCTAGCGAGCATTTTTCAGACAAACGGTAAAAAATAGTCGCGTATCGGTCTGTGTAAGTTTCGGCGTTTATTTTATCACTGATGATACTCGCCTTTGAATTAAGATTCGCACCTCTTTGAGCAATCAGTCTTGTGATGTCAAGATTATTGTCCAAAACTGCATAGTGAAGAGCGGTATAGAAAGGAGCTTTACTCTCTTTACTTACGATGTAATTAAGAAGAAGTTCGGCGGCTTCTGGCTGCGAATACTCAATTGCCTTGCAGAGTAATGAGTATCCATTGAAAATTGTCGGAACTGGAAACTCATCCGCAATTGAATTGATCAGCTGCTCTATTTTAACAATTTCGCCGTTTTGAACCGCTAGTTCCAGATGGCGTGAGATTTCGCTGTAACTCACGGCGATTGGTTTCGGCAAACACACTAACGCGCACATTCTTTTAAATTTGATTCACTTTTACAAACTTTAACGTAAATAATAATTTTTTTAAAGTTATTTTATGTTTAATGTAAAAAAAACTGCAATTTTAATAATTTTATAATGCAGTGTTTACAAATTTGTCAAAATTTTTTAAAAAATTTTGTTGATTTCAACTTTTATAAATAATAAATTGAAAATAATGAAATTGAATTAATTTTAATTTTAACAAACTTGGTATACTATGGTCTTAAAACCAGGTGTGTTGTTCGTATGAAACGCCGAAACAGACTGTCCGGAAATGTGAAGTATTTTGTAAATCAAACAACTGGAGTCCCTCCCCCTCAACTGCATTGTAGAAGGGGAACATTTTCCACGAAATCCGTCATGTCACGTATTGTTGCGCTTAGGACCCCAAGCGCGATTGAACGGTGAAAATTTTGGTTTATACCTAGGGAAAGAATAGTTTGTTTGGTTTCACGATGATTCATGATCATGCATAAGATGGGGGCAACCTGATCAATAAATGCGTGGGATAATTTTAGACGTTAGATGTTAGATTTTATTGATTTGTTAGAAAGAATTATGCTTAGCTCAAAAATTCTTAAGATAATTGAAGAATGAAAAATTTTAAGATTTATTACAAAATATTATAGAAATTTAAAAAAAAAAAAAATGTTAGTTTTGGTATTTTAAAACTAATCAATGTATTTTCAATTTATTTTAGATAATGTTAAAAAAACATAAAGAATTTTATCAGGTTTAAAAAAAATGTTAATTATTCTTACAGAACTGTTATTGTCTCTTCTTTCGAAAAAGTTGATTACCAGCGTAGATAAAATTTCTGGTATTTAAAGTCCCTGGAGGCTAAGTGTTAATGGAATGCTTGACTTCTACATACCTAAAATAGGATAAGATAAATAAAAAATATCGTTGTCTATGCGGGAGAGACCGGAATAGTCAAGATCTATAAATACAACAGTACAAAATCCTGAAAAATATTTTAAGTATAGTATATAATTAATTTTTATGGAAATTTTAAAGATTTATTTTAGGATCTGTAAAGTGTATGTAAGTTACAAAACTAATTTCCACACGTAACTTGGACTTTTACGTTAATGATTTTGTTTTTCCTACCGTGTCACGCTTCCGTGAGTTAATCAATAACAAAAGTTAAAGTTACATCAGATAACGATAATTATCGATCGTTAAATTTAAGCTGTTATTATTTTTGAAATATTTGTATTTGTGATAAAATTAGTTTCAAGTTTCAATAAAAAAAATGTAAATTAAAAAATGCAGCGAAGTCCAAATGATCCTCAATTCTTTCTAAAGAATTGATTTTATTTTAATAATATAATTTAAGCTGCAATAATGTACAATTGCATAAATTGACATACTTATGCTCTCTTTTGTCAGCAGAAATAAATTTATTTTTTTGCTAATTCGTTTTTTCCCAATTGTTCGATATATAAATAATTTTTTTTTTTTCATTCGATACTTATTTTTTTATAAATAATATTTAAAAATCCGATCTGAATCTATAGCTCTTGATAAAATTGTATTGACGCTGTAGGCAATGAAGAATTCTAAAGGGCTCGCAGTTGAAAAACTATCTACCCTAAGGTAACATATAAATTCATCTGGACTTTCCCGTTGAATATCAAACATGTCGACAGTAAATCACTGAAACTAAAAAATACAAAATATAATATAAAAATAAAAGAATCAACAAACTATCGGTAAATTATGATAAATTTTCTTTTATTATCACTTGATGACTAGATAATAATATAAAGATTCGTAGTCTGTTGGTTAAATTTGCGAACACATCTTAACTTGCCGACAAACATTTCTTCTCTTCTCAACTCTATTTTAACTCACATCACAAATTTTAATCAGCACGATCTCCATATCATCAATCGCATTTACATATCTTCACTTATTTCATACAATTAACTCGACGCTAATATTATACATTCTATATTTAATCTCCACATCCCCACCGTTAAATTTATATCAATGACCAATTATTTCTATAGTTATCCTCTACACGAGCGATTTGTTCCACGTAATAACTAAATGGCAAACGATTTAAATTTACATTTATCGATATTTTTAGTCGCTATTTTTTACAACACTCATACGAATAATTACATCGTAAATATATTTATATATTTATATGTTAACTAATTACATTTTTAATTTAATGTCAAATAAAAACAGAAATAATAATTTATATATAAATACATCTTCATTTTTATGTACAAATTGTTATTACTTCCTTTAACTCAAATTGTGTTGTGCAAAAAATTATTGCCGGTCTAAAATTTCTTAGATAATTTTTAATATCTTGCAAATTTATCGTTTAAATTAATAGAATATTTACAAGACACTTTAAGAAGATAATTTTTTTAAAAATCAATATCTACTTTTACACAAGCGTCAATTATTTATGCACACAATCCAGGACATTTATTGTTATAATTATAATAATAATAATAATAATCATTAATATTATTATTATTATTTATTAGTATCGTTATTATTAAGTATTTTTTTTTTTTTTAATAATTTGTAAAATTCGTATCACTTCTAAATAAAATTAATTATTAATTTTTAATGGCCTTGACTCTACGTTAATATTTAATTTAAGAAGGAACTTGTACATAAATATATAAATCTATTAAATATTATTTATATATATGTATATGTAGATGTATATTAGAGTGGTTCTTTTTTTGGATATAATTTCAAAATAATTAATTCCAAATTTTTTAATCCTATCAATAAATCAATGCATTAAAATTTCACTGGAGCGTTCCATTAATGGAACAGATGGAACGAAAATTAACTTAAAAATTGTAATGGAACCTCAAAATAATCTAAAACAAGCACCACCCTAATTAGATATAAATATGCAAACGATAGTATGTTTTAATCTTGATTTAGCCAGCTAAAATACCGAAGTAAAAATCCGGCTGTTCGCATTTTCATATTTAATCGTCGAAATAAATTGTTTTAGATGATTTTTAATAAATAATAAATTTAATTTACTTAAATAATTAAATTTTAGATTTTAATGGGTTATGTGGCGTAGTGAGGATGATGGTGAGGATGCTGAGGCGCTTCTCCGAGCCATGAGTCAGGTGAGGGTGGAAAATCAGGGTAACCACCTCCACCACCTCCGCCGCCACCGCCACCGCCACTCGATTCATTGCTTAAATCTGACGCTGGTCCTGGCACCATTCCACCTGGTCCTCCTGTTATTAAAATAGTTTAATAATATTAATTGATTAAATTTATTAATTATTCATTTATATAAAATAATATTTACCGAGATTCGTGTAAACAGACAATCCAGCGTCGGAAGGATATGGAAAGTGTGGTGGTAAGGACGGTGATCTGGACGTTGTTAAATAGGGAGGTGTCGTTGCACCCAAGTAACCACGGGGTGGACCACCCCCGCCGTTTCCTCCACCTGCGCTTGGACTCGATCCATCTCCGTCTAGGCCCATGTTTACTACTGTACTGTAACTGTCGTTGCTTAGATCTGTAAAATATTTTATCAAATTAATAAAAAATATTTTTAAAAAAAATCTTGATCATAAGTCTTGTAAAAAAATTTTTTTAAATAAAAGTTGTTCAAAATTTAATTTTATAAAAAAAATGTATGTTACAATTTTTTTTTTAAGATCAATTAAAAAATTGCAATTTCAAAATTAATGATTTAAATTTGTGCTAAATATAAAAATCTTAATTTTAAAATTTTATTAGTCTTAAAAAAAAATTATAAGACATTTTTTTTATAAAATTAAATTTTGAAAAATTTTTTTATACGACCAATATTTTCGCGGTAATATCAAAAATTTAATACTATTAATTATCACAATTGTTATTTTGAAATTGCAGCAAAAATTCTGGCCATAATAATAATTAATAAATAATTGTAAAAAGAATTAAATTATTTTTAATATCTTCATAAATATACAAAAATTTCAATAAATAATTTTAATGATAAACCTTCTGGTTGATAATTAAGCTAAAAAAATCAACCCCTAGTTAATAATTAAGACCATCTGTTTAAAAATTCATAAATTAAGGAAAAAAAAAGCCTTAACTAATTAAAAAAAAAAAAACCAACAACAAATAAAGGTCGAGGTCAAGTTATTCCGGGGAGTAATTAAAATGATTCAATTTTAAAAATGTAAAAGCTTCTCGACAAAAAAATAAAAATGAAACACAAAAATACTTTTGTTGAAGTAGTTTATGCGATAAAAAGCCCGAGGGCATCGGCTGCGGAAGCTGGGGAGGTACAGAGTATAGTTATCGTCCTGCTTGAGCAATCTTGGCGAAATCACGGGTCTGCTCTGGCATCTGGCAGTTAGCCGAGCAATCTCTTGAATATTTGACGAGTAAGCCTGTCTCGGCTGAGAAACTAGTGTGAGGATGAGGACGAAGATGAGGATGAGGAAGAACTAGACCTAAGCGAGATCAACTGAGTCTGGATCCAGGTCTGGGTTTGGTGTGAGGGATCCAGTCATTGTTTGGGCTCTAAATTTCATCCCGCCGCGAGCAAACTTTGTTTTTAAATTAAACCTTTATCTGGGATATTGATTGAAAATTAGAAGAAAAATTAATTTTTTTTTGTTTCTTTCAGACGTACCGTGGTGACCAAACGAAGAATCCAAGTCAACTTTGAGCTCGTCTTTATCCAGGAGCTTATCGTGGCGCGGCGAATGACCACCGCTGCCTTTAAAACTACCCGTGTTATTTCGGAAAAAGTGGGACCATCTCGATCTATTGGAATCTTTCTTCAGTCTCTTCTCTTTAGCTCTCCTGAAAAGTAATTAATTGTTGTTTTGTTAATATAATATGATAATAATATATTAAATAAATAATAATAATAATAATAATAATTTTATATGGCTTAAAATTTTATAATCTTTCAGACTGTATTATACATTATTATTATCTATATTATTAAGAGAATAAGAAAAATTTTGTGATCAGTGTATTTATATGATGAAATGGGTTTTTATGATTAAATTTGGTATCATAACAAAAGTCTTGACTTGGAGTCGTGCCTTTTTAAGGTTTCATATCATTCTCACCTATAGTCAATTTATTTTATGAAAAGTATTTAGGCTGCATTCGAAAATGCTCTATCTCTATAGATACATAATTAAGAAATGACCTTTTATCTTGTGAACTATTGACATTTTTAAAGATATAAGCTCATCCCGATGTAACACTCATCGAGACCTTTCATTTGAGTACCCACATCAATTTTTCATATATTTATATATATTATATATATGTATATATGAAAAATATATGAAAAATTGATGTGGGTACTCAAATGAAAAGGTCTTGATGAGTGTAATCTCTAAGTGAGCTTATATCTTTAAAAATGTCAATAGTTAAAAAAGTACAGTGCAATTTAACAAAAGGCATTATTTAATGAAGCCAAATTTTATTTATGCATAAATTATTTATATTATAATATTTAAAAAAGTACAGTGCAATTTAACAAAATTTTGTAAAATATTGACATTTTTAAAGATATAAGCTCATCCTGATGTTACACTCATCAAGACCTTTCATTTGAGTACCCACATCAATTTTTCATATATTTATATATTGAAAGTGGGTTTCGTAGACCGTCAATCACGCAAAAACTACTGAACGTATTGACATGGGACTGGGACCATTCGACGCGGAATGAATTGTAGATGGTTATAGGCTACTTATTTTTTGAATTCCATCAATTCTTGACCATTTTATTTCTATTTAACTTTGATAAACATTTTTTCCCGCCGATAAAAACAAAAAACGAGCATTTTTCTTCAATTCATTTGTTTTTTTATCGGCATGAAGGGTATTACGTTTTTTTTTCTTTTTTTGAGAATTTAGTTCCATGTACCAACGTGTGGGCGGATGCGTGAGTGTAATATAAATAAGCGAAATAGGGTTTCGCTAAGAAAAACAAAAGATTCTCATTTTTTATTCATTTATTTTTAATACGATTTTCTTTTGTTTTTATTACATAGCCTTGATATTTGATTGATTTAACGTCATTTAAAAAAAGTTCAAGAAAAAGAAGCTAATTATTTTTGGTGAACTAAGTGTCGAAAATTTCTGTTTATATGCTGATCGTATGTTTGGTTATGATTATTATCTAAGAATTAATTGGTTTCATGAAATAAAATAGTTAGATATCTATGAAATCTACTGAAAATGCTGTTGTTTATAAACTAGAACTTTTTGAAACATGAAACTTCGACCATATCTATTGAGATTTAATAACATTTACTAAAAATTTTCTTACACCAAACGTCGCCTTTAGCAGCGGGAAAAAAGTAATTGTTAGGTTTCCAAAACTTAATATTACATGTAGTAATTTGGTCAACGGATTAAGAATTTTATATACATGTTATTTTTGCTGATTACATAACTTATAAATTGTTCTTATTGCGGGATCGCGGGAATGTATCTGATGATTAAAATGAATGCATTTTCCAAACACTGGTCATGTGAAAAGTAAATTTGGCTACCTATTTAAATAGAATTCGTAAAAAAAATGTTAAATTTATTTTCTATAAAATATTGATGTCACTGAGAAAACTTGAAATAACAAAAAAATTCTTCGCAATTGAAGCTATACAGATTTCAACTTTACTTTTGAGACTTGCAATGACTTTAACTAAACTTTTAATACTCAATTAAAATCTAAGCAAATCAAAACAATAATTAAATTTCAAGTCTAGATCTAAAAATGCAATTTTATAAAGCGCCCAGCGAAGCGGGCGGGTAACAGCTAGTTATATATATGTATATATGAAAAATATATGAAAATGCATGTGGGTACTCAAATGAAAGCTCTTGATGAGTGTAACATCGGGATGAGCTTATATCTTTAAAAACGTCAATAGTTAAAAAAAGAACAGTGCAATTTAACAAAATTCATTATTTAATAAAGCAAAATTTTATTTATTTATAATTCACAAGTCCCGGCAGTCACATAGTGATTGCAAGGTTGCTAGTTATTTTGAGATAATTAAAAAATAATAATAATAATAAAGACAGATGATTTAATTCATGAACAACCAATCAACAATGTAGGGTCAAATTTTGGACATTACCTATTTTGAAACCAAACTTGAACCACACGCATGTCTAATCCCGTGTCTTGGGACAATTGTTCCCTAACATGTCGCGCAGGCTTTGGACTATTGTTGTACGCCAGTTTAAGTGTTTCCAATTGTTTGGCTGTTATTGTTGTTCTTGGCCTCTTGTTTGGCTGGTCACCATCGATACTTCCGCCGTCAGCTAACTCTGTAAATTCCGTTTCTAAATAATAATTGCATATTTTAAAAAATGATCAATAATATTTATGTTGATATTTACCTTTAGCCTTGGCTTGCTCGTAATCAGGCTTGCAAACAATTTTCCTGTCTTCCATGAGGTAATACTCGTCCCCGGTGTCCAACTGTCTCGAGCAGAATGCGCAGGAGAAGCACGTGAGGTGGTAAACAAAATTAGACGCCCTTCTGACGACCTGGGATGGAGCCAGGCCCTCGTTACAGCCAGCGCACTTTGTCCCGTACCGTCTGTCGTCATACCAACAACACGTAACATTTGACATTACATTCACAAAGTTAACATTAAGTTACAAATATTTAGTATTTAATCTTCTCTTTTTTTTCTTTTAAAAAAAAATTTTTTTCGATTTTTTTTAGCTTGATAAATTTTGACTAAAAAAAAAATTTTTTTTAACTTAAAAAATAATTTTCCAATAGCTTTAAAAAAATAAATAAATTATATATTTACAGTAAAAATTATTTCTATTTTTATCAAAATGTTTGAAATTAAATTAAAATTTAATATTTAAATAATTAAGTTAATATTTGAATATTTAAAAAAATTATGACGGTCCGTAATTTATAATCAAAAATGACCTGTCCGCCTTACATCGCAACTGATAGATAACAATAGGTAAATAGATACAAAAAAAAAAATCAGCTATCGGGCCACTCTTTAATAAATTTATCCGCTAATTTAATAAGACAACACACTGGGGATCAGTGATTAATGATAACGATAACTTCCCAAAGAATTTATTCTCGCCACAAAAGGTATCGGTACCAAGCAATCAATACTGGTCACATTACCCTTATATTCTTGCCCGTATCTTAAAAACTTTTATTTTTTATTTTGCTACCCCTATATTTTTATTTTATTTATTACCCACATTTTTTTCTAAGCCACCTTTTCTTCTTTGTTTTATTTTCCAATTCTTAAAATAAATTTCCTTTCGCTTTTTTTTTTTAATATCAAAAAGTTGATAACGTGTTTTATTAATATCAAAATCAATATACTTTTTACAATTTTTATTAATATCAAAATCAAAAGTCAATAAACTTGGAGATTTTTGTTATTAATGTCATAAATTAGGAAACTTTGTAAAAGTTTTTCTATAAATATCAAATAATACTCTACAATAATTATTTAATAATATAAAGATCAATAAATTTTGTAATTAATATCAACTTTTTTTTTAATATTATTATTCTTATCACTTTTTTTTATAATTTCAGAAATTTTTGAATATTAAAAAATAAATACTTACTTGTAAAAATCATCTTTGCAAAAAACAACCCCGTTTCTCTCAAAACAACTATTTGTTAGTCTAGCGCCACATTCCCGACACGTAAGACATTTAGCGTGCCAGCATCTTTCCAGTACCCTCAGAATTATTTTATCTAGAATTGCTTCTTGACAGCCTCCACACTTTGGTATCGATGCTAAAACAAAAATAAATAAGCAATTTTATTAATTAATTGACCAATTAATCAATTATCAATAATTAATAAAAAATTACTACATATTTACTAATTTAATTTTTCTTTTCTGAATTCTAAATAATTAAAAACAATTATAATTAATCATTAATTATCAATAATTAATAATTCATAATTAATTATCAACTATCCATTAATTTAATTATTCTTTTCTAAATTAAAGAAAATTCAAATTAATTATCAATTATCCACCAACTGAAATTTAACTTTTTTAATTTTAAATTATCAATAATCAACATTCAATTACCAAAAATAAATTTACTAATTTAATTGTCCTTTTTCAAATTTAAAAAAAAATCCAAAAAAATTATCAATTATATCATTAATCATCAATTAGGAAAAATTAATTCACTTAATATAAAAATTTATTTGAATCAATACAAAAAATTCTTAAATTAAATAAAATTTGATCCAAAAAAAATTTAAACTTTATTTTTTAAGATCCCAAACAATTATAAATAATCAATAATAAAACTCAATATTATTTTTGTAAATTAAGAAAAAAAATCAAAAAAAAAATGATCAATTATCATTAATCATAAATTATTAAAAATTAATTCACTTAAAAAAAAAATTTATTTGAATCAATACAAAAAATTCTTAAATTAAATAAAATTTGATCCAAAAAAAATTTAAACTTTATTTTTTAAGATCCCAAACAATTATAAATAATCAATAATAAAACTCAATATTATTTTTGTAAATTAAGAAAAAATGATCAATTATCATTAATCATAAATTATTAAAAATTAATTCACTTAAAAAAAAAATTTATTTGAATCAATACAAAAAATTCTTAAATCAAATAAAATTTGATCCAAAAAAATTTGACTTAATTTTTCAAAATCCAAAACAATTATTAATCTTCAATTATAAACAATCAACAATAAAACTTGATTTAATTTTTGTAAATTAAAAAAAATCAACAATAAATTACCCACTAAACAATCGGAAATTCCAAAAATTCCAAAACTTACACAGCAAAATATCAGGAATATTTTTGGGAAGCGTAATCCGTTCACCATCAAACTGCAAATCTTTGCTATTCGCCAAATTATTACTATTATTATTATTAATATGACTATGATGACTCTCAGGACTGCTTTGCGGAGGCGTCAGCACGTCTCCACGACCGCGATACATCCGACTGTCCAATGAGAACATCTCGCAGCCCAACATATCTAGGCCAATCATGATAAATAAAAGCCGCGAGCTGTCAGCCGTTCGCCGCGAGCTACCCCCTTACTTGCGCGGAGTTTATCGATCGAGATCGAGATCGATATTGACGCCGCGCATCTCTGTCCTTATCCCTCTCTGCTCTATAAATCTATCTGTATGTCTATATACATAATATAAACACATCCACATATATTGTGTATAGATAAACAGTCACCGGACTTGTTCAACACACCAACACATCTTACAAAAGAATCTCGGCCACGGGCATGGGAACAGACTTTATCTAATCGATTTTATTGTTGGATCGCTTAATGATCATCGATTTCACTCTTTGCCTCTTTTATTTAGATATTTTTATTTACAAAAGTAAATTTTTTTTTATATCAGCCGCTGATTTTTATCAATTTTTTACAGACACTATTTTTAATTTTACTAAAATTAAATTTATTTATTTAATTTTAATTCCACACAAATTTTTTAATTACAATAATTTAATTATTTTTATCAGTTAAAAATAATACTTTTTATCTATATGATGTCAGTGTAGTCTGGACAGCGCGACAACACGCGCACGACTGATTATCCTGAGCGGTGACGCTGGTGCGCACGTGTAGCTCGGGGATGAAGTGGGGAAGAAAATAGTGGAACAGGACAGAAATATCTGGGGGTGGTTCGGTGGTTCGGTGGCTCGGTGGTTGTCGAGAGACGCGCCAGGAGAGATACTACGAAGAGGACTCTACTGAGGGTGGTTGGGCGCCTGGGTGTGGTCGCAACCCTTATCGCCCCCGCGAGGGTGACGATTGGTCGGGACGCAGCCGCCCCCAGTATGGCGTGCGGTCTCTACTCCCGAGATGTCGGATATGTTTGGTATGTATTATATATTATATATATTATATACTGTCTGGATGTGGAGAGCTATCTGTGTAGATGGAAATATGAATAGAGGTAAAATATTGCTGAGTTGTAGAGGAGAAGAAAATCTAAATGAAAGAGAAACCAATCACTGTTGCATTGGAAGTAAAAGTTCGAATTTAATCTTGTTTGCATTTGTTGAAATTTTGTTTTTTTTTATACACGGAAAAAAAAGTTAACTTAAATTATAAGAGTGGATTTTTGAATGAAGAAAATAATTTTCAAGAGTTTCATTTTCTTGAATTAAAACAAATTATTGAATCGAATTAAATTAGACGAAGAAGAAGAAGAAATTCTTCAAAATTATTCACTTGATTCATGTTAATTTTTTTTTTTTTTGTGTACATATATACTTTATACATTAGAAAAAAAAATGTATTTATTTATTGAATTTATATGCCAAGACATATATAAAGCCAAATCGGCTGCCCAATTTTAAAACACAGTAACTGCAAAATTTTTATACCTGATTTTTTTTTAGTATTGCTGCATTTTTTATAACTTTTAAACCTTAATTTCAAGTATTTTTTCTTAAAAATATTTATATTTGAGTAGTTTCAATTCATAAATCAAATTTATCATTAATTTGGCGGGCAAACTTTTTTTTAATAAGAAAAATTGAAAAAAATTTTTAAATGTTAGTTACTGTGTTTTGAAATTGGGCAGCCGAAATAGCAATAAGTAAATACATACACAGAAAAAAAATGTTCTTGAATCAAAAGTATATATTTTTGAAAAGCTTAATATTCTTAGTTTGAGTCGAAAAATTTTTGATTTAAGAAAATTTTACTTAACGTACTTCCAGCGTGGTATAGTATAGTCAGAGCATTTACTATGGACAAAAATTTAAAAGCCTCGGCACACAGACGTTTACACATACAATTACATATTGTTAGTCTAGTGATCTGGCAACGTTGCTCTTGAAAACCGTGAAAGATTTGAATTTCCCGCTTTTTATGCTACACTATTTCAGGGAGCGTTGCGCACGGCGTTGCCAAATCACTATAAGTTGTTAAGTGAGCAAGTTAGAAATGGATTGAAATTTATTTTTTAAAATTATTATATCTCGATAACAAAACGGTGAAGTGCTATTTTTATTTTTTTAACTTATTGTAAAAACATTTTTCAACACTCTCCTAATTTTTTTTCCAATTCTGTCGAGAGAATTTTTTAATATCATAAAAAATAGTTGGAGAGACCGGAGATTTTACATGCTTTAGATGGAACATGACCCTGAAAATCGTCAACTTTGACTTTAAATATCTCTCGATCTAAACGGTCAAAAATTATGAAATTTCAGGAATTTATAAATAAAGCTATTCTGAACCCGTCAAAAAAATTTCAGCCGAATCTGTCGAAAAGTGATTTCATGCTGGAACTACCTTAATTCAAGAATTTTTCATCTTGATTAAAGACAATCACCCTCTTCAAAATTATATTCTTGGTTTAAGAATTTTTCTCTTGAATCAAGTTAATTTTTTTTTCTGTATAGAATTTTGTTTCACATAAATTATTATAATTAAAATTAGAAGTATAGCTTCTAATTTAACTTAAGTATAAAAATTTTGTATTATCCATAAATAATATCATTAAAATTTGAATTATAGCTTGAGTAAACAATTTATTACATTCAGAAAGAGTAGCATGGTTACAATTTTAAATATCTTAATATATACATTTTTTACACTTTACCAGTATTTATCAGTAATTTAAATAGAAATAAATTTAATTAGAAATAGAAATTAAAATAATAATAATTTGACTGAAAAATTAATGAATCAAGAAAATTATTTTGAAGAAATTTTTTGTCTTGATTAAAGTAAAAAATTCTGAGAAAAAAGAAATTTTTTTTCTAAGTAAATTTTATTTGATTAAAAAAATTTTTTTCTTGAATAATTATTTTGTAAATGAATTATTTTTTTTCAGTGTATGTACTAAAAAAATTTTTTTGGAATTATTTTTTGAAGATTTTGGAAGAGTTAAATTTTTTAAAAGAAGATAGGAAGAAATTTTGGAGGTATTTAAAAAAAAAATGGAAAAAGAAAAAAGAGCAGCTATTATAATTTTTAAGGGTTCTTTTAAAAAATTTTTTTTAGGAATTATATGGATTTATTAGAAGAAAAAAAATTTTTTGGACTAAAAAAAGCGTAAATAAAAGTCTGGTTTAAAATGTTGGTATATACCCGCATACTTTTACTTAGGCCAGGTTGCGTTCAGATGGCTTAGGATGACAAGACAGTGACCTCCATCACACACTGGGGAATGACCTTTTCCACAAATAATCCTCCAACAAATAACATATGCAGAAAAAATTTAAAAAAAATAAACTATTCAATAAATTTGATTAGTTTAACTGAAGCATAAAAACATAAATTTATAATTTGTATGTATTGAATAAAATTTCATCTCTACCATATGCATCATTGGGTTCCAAATAAAATAAAATAGCTCAGTTGACATGAATCAGAATAGGAAGCTGGATGGTTCATTGCTTAAATTATATTTATGCAGAAAATTTTGGCAGGTTTTATTATTATTCATAAATATATTGTAGGAAGGATAAAAAAAAAAAAAATAAAAATGGTTCAACGCCTAACTTACCATGAAGAAGGGATTTTCCACCTGACAGACTGTACTACCGATGAAATTAAGTAATAAAAGTGAGATATATCAATATATAAGGCGGTACATAGCTATGTAGGAAGGTGGCACGTTGCTTAGCGCGAGACGAGACGACATATGGCCCATAATTTTGCATACACGTTGGGAGTTGTGTCGTGGGCATTTATTTGCTGAGGTAACTATGCTTTATACGTGTACGGGTCCCCATAAAATCTGTCGTACGCGTCATTGGCGTTACCCTAGTCATTTTCATTGTGCACGAGCACTTTTGGTATTAGTCCTTTTTCAGGACTCGCTAGAGCTTGCTCTTTGTCTCCTACTAGCGGTAATCTACATCGTCAGCCACTGTGCATGTGTGGATTTATTCATATGTGTTGCGTAATAAAAAAATCATGGTTTACCGCATTTTTATTCACAAGAGTAGTCAAGTCATCTGACCTTTTATTTTGTGTGGGGTCTTGTGGAAAATCATCTGCTTTCTTCCTTTTTTGACTATGACATGCAATAAAATTCGAAAAAAATTAATAGATAAAAAATTCGGTCGGTTTTTGTGGCGATGATTTTGTTAGCCGGAACGAAACAAATTTTTTTGGAGTTTATTCGTTTGAAAAAATTTTTGGATTTTAATCTTTGTTTTTAAAATTTTTGATAAATTTCTATATAAATCTTTGATAATTTTTAAGCTTTGAATTTTTTTATTTAAAAAATTTTAAACGTTGAATTTTTTATACTTTCTTTAATAAAATATTGATATTTTTGATAAATTGTAAATTTCTTCAATAAATTTTGAATTTTAGATTTCTTTAATGAATTTTTTTATTTCCAAAATTTGAACTTGAAATTTTTTACAATTTCTTTGATAAATTATTGACAATTTTCAAAATTATTTATTTTGAATTTTTCAACTTTAAACTTTGAATTTTTTTACAATTTTAAAATTTTGAAGTGTTTTATAAAATTTTTGTTCATTTTTCAAATTTTAACAAACTTTTAATACTTAAATTTAAATTTTTTGAATAAATAAAAATTTTGTAACTTTTCCAAATATTGTGAGTTCAAAAATTGATTAAAAATCTTAAAATTAGAAAGAAAAAAGGAAAAACTGTAAGTGCGTTTGCGCAAAAATGAAAATGACCATAGAGTAAAGTCCCAAGGGCGTTTATAAGTTTGCTGGCCGTATCTGACGTATCTGAGGGAGATAGAAGGCCTAAAGAGTGTACTAGACGTACGCGGGCAAAGCTCAAGGGGTGGTAGGTCGTAGTCGGAAGTGCCGGGCGCGTCGACACGCCTACAGAACTCGTCACAGCACTAAAAAAAGTCACCGCAGGGGGCCACCTACATCTCCTTATCCACACATGTACTAGTTGAGTCTCTACTCTATTCTCCACTCTCTATCTCGCAAGAATGAATTTCAAAAGAGAATAAGGAGTCCCTCGTAAAAGCATGACAAGAGATATACACCCTCCAATGTCACCCTTAACCTGACAAATTACGACTTTACT